AAAACAAAATGGGTTTTTAGATGTCTGCTCATTCATCATGGGTCTTGCTACGGACTGCATAAAATATTGAATCAATCATCTTTTTGTTGTGCTGAATTTTCATACGTAAAAACTGCTACAAGAAACACCTCAACATTAAATTGTTTACTAAAAGAGATTTAAAAGATGAACAGTAGCATTATCTTCTCACTATTACGAGCAGCATGTTCCAAAAGAAAGGAGACCTCTTTGGTACTTCGAACATACATACAGTAAGATCAGAGACAAGCGTGTTCCCATATGCGTCATGTTTGAGTTGCATGCTGTTTTTGCAGACAGACAATTTTCTCCCCTTGATGTATCTCGGTTTGTTGACAACAAATCACGAATTGTTTCATTATATATTTCTAACAATGACACCTACAGAAAATTTATAAAACATAGAAGCTTAATGTTTACTTATCATGTAGGATAGCAAATTAATTAAGCTAACCAAGGAAAGCTAAAAAGAAGAGGAGAATATTACTTCTCACCTGCATTTCATATTTCCACCCTTGAGATTGAAGAGCTTGCCTAGTTTGAAATATTTGTTCTAATGATCGCGGGATTAGTCCCTTTTCCTCTGGGTTTCCAGGCCTACCCATCATGGTATAAGTTTTGCCTGACCCTGTTTGCCCGTAGGCAAAAATGCAAACCTGGAAATTGTAAAAAAGAATCTTCTTTTAAGTGACAAGTGCTGCTGATACTAGTGAATCAAGACTAGTTAAGTAGAAGAATGCATTATGCATAGAATAATTCATTTACTAGCTATGAAAAGCTTTAATCAGATTGTGGATACCATTAGAAACAAATTAATTTAAGCAAAGTGTTAGACTACAGATATCAAGTTGGAAATTTAAATACTTGAATGAACACTCGTCAAGCTTATCCACCAAGTCCTTTTGCAGGACATTCACACACTTATAAACTGATTTCGATAAAATAAAAGTACCAGAAACTTAATAAATTACCTTATAACCATCAAGAGCACTTTGCACAAGCTGTGAAATTTCTACAAAGACCTCCTCTTGGGATTCATCAGGAGTAAAAACTCTATCAAATGTAAAAGAATGCCTTTGCCCTGATGACGATCAAACATGACATAGCTTCAGTGTGAATTGAATAAAAAATAAATAAATACATATTGCATGTAGCAAATAGTATTTACAATATGAAATCTATTACTAAGTTGCATGTAGCAAATAGTATTTACAATATGAAATCCATTATTAAGTAAATACCATTTTGCGTGATATCAATTCCCCGTCCAAGTGCTTCTGCTGATGTAGGATAGGATATAACCTTCCCTTCCGTGCTGGAACCATCATCAGGCAATAGGGGGCGCACTCTACAAAATACTCGAATATTTCCTTTCAATTCCTGTAACATAAAGAGAACTTTATTAGATGAAAATATGGTGGTGATGGTAAAGTTTACAGTAGAAGAGATTTACCAAAATGGTATTATGCAACTTTTTACGTAGTTTTTCTCCTTCAATAAGTTTAAATTCTGCATCTCCTAAACGATTTTGCAGCTCACTTATGAGTTTTCTTTGCTCTTCGAACTCAGTTTTTGTCTCCAGTGCAGATAAATCAGATACCTATCAAAATGTCAAAAGTGAATCTGGATGGTATAATGATCTTTACTTTGCAAATTACTCTGCCAGTACAAAGACACTAATTTTAGTCTACAATCTGCCAAAAAATTATGTGGCAAACCTGCAACTTTCTCTCCGCAGCTGCAAGCTGATCTTGTAATGTCCTAATTTGGTTACTCTGTGATGAACATCTAGCCTGCAAAAGAAAACAGCATACCTTAAGAAAATTATTGAGTGAATGCATGAGATGATTAATGGAAGAAAGAAGTAAATAAGAAGGTGAAAGAAAGCCTACCTCTAGGTCACGTGAGTTTATTGCCAAATCTTTATATTTAGCCACCTCGGCTTTTAAAATTTGAAGCTGCAGGAGCTGTTGATCACGGTCATCTCTGACCTGTTGCACTTCTACCTTAAGAGAAGCAACTTCATTCACCAATGTATCTTTCTGTTTCATAACCTCCTCCTGAGCAGCCTAACATACATTCCAACCATATACTTTGTGAGAACTCAAATATGCGTAACAAACACCAAAGAAAGAATCCACTTAAATGGTTCAGGATTAGAGCAACATACTACATTCTGCGAAACGTTTTAAAAAACTCTTTACAGTACACAGACAATTTAAGTTCGTAAAAGACTAGAAAGAAAATAACTTGATATGCAAATTAAACTGTTGAGAATCCACCACTACTTCTCACAGAGTTGACAATATGACAAGAAAGCTATAATATGCTTTATAACCTTTTGAAGCAAGAAGAATCTATGATGACTAAAATCCAAGGAACAATAGCTCTTAAATGCTACCTATGCCTATATCAGATAATGCCTCGTGCTAAAAATCCCTAATTCTTCTTCCTAATTTCAGTTTCACCTTTATGCAACTGTGTTCCCGTTTAATCTATAAACTTCACTTTCAACAAAGCATAAAAACTTACCTTAGATGCAGCAAGTTGATCTTGTAGGGATCTGAGCAGGTATGGGGATTAAAATCCAAGAAACAATAGCTATTCAGTGCTACTTAGTCACATGATATCCCACAATCAAATCCCTAATCTTTTCTCCCTATTTTCACTTTCATAAATTCCCATTTGATCAATAAACTTTTTCGACAAGGCATAGAAACTCACTTTAGATGCAGCAAGTTGATCTTGTAGGGATCTGTTTTGACCCCGGAGGATGCCGAGGTTCTCCACTATCGCAGCTCTCTCTTTCTCTCCACGTTTAACTGATTCATGTGCTGCATCAACATCTGTCTGGAGTTTACTATTGTAAAGTTGTAAGCTTGAGTTGTACTCTTGTAGCAGCTTGTACATGTCATTAATTGATTGTATCTGCAGAATTCAAGAAACAAAAGTTGAATATCTAAATTGAGAATTATTTATATTAATGAATATTGAGGGGAAAAAGGTAGGGAAATAGGAAGTTTAACAAATGCAAATAAGATTTGCTTCTTTATTACCCTTTGATTTGCCCCTTGGAGTTCTGCTTGAGATTTTCCCAGCTCTTCCAAGAGAGAAACTTGTGACTTTTCAATACTAAGTCTAGTCTCCTTTTCTCTGGCGAGAGAATCCATTGCCGCCTAACCAAAAAGGATAATCACTAAAAACTAAAGATCAAACATCACTGACTGAAAATATTGACCGCGGAATAAGATTTCTTAGTTCTTACCAACTTATCCTGTTCTTCTTTTCCAAGTTTCTCTTGCAAAGAAGAAAAGCTCCTCCGCAATTCCACAATTATCATATTCAACTCCTCTTCTTTGTTTTTCAAAATTATCTCTGTGATTAAATGCATCAGAATACAAACACACCAGGAAAAAAAATAATTTGCTACAAGAAAAGCAATTGTTCGATCAATCCTACCCATATCAGCACAGTTCCTCTCTGTCATTTCCAGGGCATTCTTCAAATTCTCTTGCTCAAATGCATAGTCTAACTCAAGCTCTTGAAACCATTTGATACAAAGCCTAAGCCTTTTGATATACTCTATCATATTCTCACATCTCTCCTGAGAAAAACACAAAGAAGAAGCCAATTGAAATTACTTTCAACTTTACATCACACCTCAAAAACCCCACTTACACTAAATTAACTATTGCATCTCCTTTGCTCATCCAAAAAAAGCAATCAAAATTGAAGAAAGAAAAACAAAATAGCTAACCTTGTAGTTAAATTTGTTCTTATACTTCATTCTTTCACTCAACAACGCCTCAACATCCTCTCTCGTGAAGTCAATGCCACCGCATTCAGATCCCACGGTACTCGCCGGCGCGCTATTCGGGCCAAGATCTTGCGCCCCATTTACCACCGAAAACGCATGCCGGAATCTGCCATTGTTTGGAGTCCCCAGCATTTTTTTCACTTTAGAATTTTGTAGCGTATCTCCACTCAATTCATCACTGAGACCCTTCTGGAAAAACCCCGCAAGAATTCACCAAAAGGAAGACTTAAAAAACACATTTTTCTATGACCCAAAAGAGAGAAAAAAAAAAACTAAAAATTCCCAATAAAAAAAAAAAGCATCAAGATTACATTTTCAACGGGAAGATACAATCTTTGATCTAAACGAAACACACCCACTATAAATTTAGCATGATATCAAGAAGCCAAAGATTCGAACTGGCAAAGAGTGTAAGTTCACATACACATAAATAACACTGACTGTTATAAACAAAGAGAAAAACGCTTACATTCAAGGAGAGTCTTCGTATGTTGTTGAGAAATGGAGGGTTGTTCTGGTTCAGTGAACCCATTTTGAAGAGGAGAGAAAGAGAGACACAGAGGAAGGAAGACGAATAGAGCGAGCTTGGATACAGTAAGATTGGTCTAGCAGAGTGGGGCCATAGATTGCATCCGAAGCTACCGATTGCAATCACAGCCGTTGCTTTTACGAGCAGGAAGATGGAACATGGAGACAGAGAAATGAATTGTTTTAAGAGAGAAAGAAAATGAAAATGAAAAACCCCAAAATTAATATTATTATATTTTGGCCTGTTTAGGAAATTTTTAGGTTTTTAATTTACCGTTGCGAATAGATTTGAATATTTTTTGTTTGAAAATGGGATCTGGCGGTATGCTAAACACAGCAGATTCCTTCTGTTTATCTGTGATTTTCCTATTTTGCCCTTGACTTATGTCCAAAACTTGATATTTTGCATTCAATTGAATCTCCATTGGAGGTTAGGGGTATTATTGTCAAATAAACCCATAAAGCCACTAATCTTCTAGATTCCTTATATATATATATATATATGTATGTATCATCCTAGCAGTCAAAATTTGCAGAAAAAATGAGAAAAGATGGAGAGAGAATGAGAGTTTAATAGCAAAAAATGATTTACCCATCTCAGTTATTAATATTATTTTTTCTATAATATATCCATATATATATATATATGTATATATGTGCGCGCAATATATAAAGAAAAAGTATGTGGGAGTGTATATAATTTCTCCATTACCAATACATGCTTACATAAAGATTGCTTGATTGATTATGTAATCATGATCTAATTAAATTTTTTAACTCATAATGAATGCTTAGTTAATCTAATTAAGTTTGGTTTTCTTTCCTTAATAAGAAGATAAATGAACATTTTCTTCAAGTTACATTTAGAAGGCAATTGGGTCAATCATAACCTGAATTTCAACTACCTCTCTAATTCTTTATATATTTTTTTTATTATATATACATAAGAGAATAAAACTTAATTTTTTACCATAAAATTATGAGAGAAATATAAAGAATAATATAATTTAAAATTAAATATATAAAATGTGGACTCTAAAAGTAAAACATATCTTGCCACCCAACCTTTTTATTTAATTATGTAAAAAAATAAAAAAAAAATAAAAAAAGGAAGTTTGTGGAGCTTGCGTCGAATGGGGTTCAAGGATATATATATATATATATATATATATAGATATATGTGTGTGTGTATATGTGAGCTGAAGAAAACTTGAAGATTACTTTGATTTGGCAAAAAGTGCATGGAGAAGAGAAGAGCTCATAGCAGTTAGTTGCCATATCCATTTTATATTTTGGTTCTCATCTTTCCTACCACATTTTTTCTTAAAAAAATTATGGTAATAATCATTATTAATATACTTTAATATAATATTATAAGTTATTTTTATACATCTTTAAACCAACAATTTAGTTTATAAATGACTAATCA